TCCCAGCCGGGCAGCTTGACGGCATGATCTAGTGCGACCGGCAAGCCCCTATGCCTACCACGAATCATCATAATAATCATTACCAGCTTTGAACCTGTGTACCAGCCGCCCACGAAGCTGAATGAGTAATTTGGCAGTCCCATAGACAGTCCGATATTGGTATATCCCGACACGATTTCGAACAGGAAGTTGAATACGCTATAGGATCCTGGGTCCGCAATTGAATGAGACGTCTCGATAAGTGTGATTAAGAATAGAGAAAACGCAATGGCCCAGATATCGTGTGACAGCTGTCCTCGAAGGTGCTGCGACACGAGGCTTACGTGGCCCTCGAAAGCCGAGGTAGATCCTGACGCCTCGTTTGGGTCGTTGAAGTTAATAGCAGCAGACCGCTTCAGCCGGGGCCTCGCCGTTACGCCTACACCTTGGAAGTTATTCATCCTACTTTGGATCTGCTTGCCCACGAAGGAGGTGCCACGCCTGCCGATGGCGGCTATTTTCTTAATCGGCTTCGTAGAAATGCCCGACTTTTTTTGTGACGCGCCTGGTGCTGAGACTGCTGATCTTTCTAGGCCAAGGGTATGGCCAGACGTCGGTCGAGATAGGAGGGGCCCAAAGGTTGGCAGGAGCTCCTCTGCCGACTCGTCTGGAGTTGAGTTCAACTCCTCGGACTTTTCAGATTGTGTGGTGTAAATTCCCAGTGACCGTTCTTCGTACACCTTGAATTGAGTTAGTTTTGAGCGCAAGTCTCGACTAGACTAAAGAAGTAATGCCACTAACATTTGAGTTTCGCATGACGATGATCTCCGGGTACGCGGAAATATACATTACGATGACCCATAGGACAAGAACGTCGAAATAGAGGCTTGACACAGAAACAACTGCGAAGCCTGAGGAAGGAATGCCTATAGGCAAAACAGTCAGCCAATCTCTAGAATAGAATGGCATCGCCCTCATGACTTACTTAGTGCCTGAAATAGGGCCAGCCCGACTCGCTTTCCAACTGGGTATGCCTCGATAGCAGAGTTGCCAATGCTGAGAACCAATAGAAGGACCCAGTCCATAACAGCAATGGTGCTGAACATTGTGACAAACACCAGATTGGCCTTGGAAGGAAACATCATCATGTACAAACGACGAGGGTACTTCAGGATGAAGTCAAAAGCTTCCTTCCACACGGTGTATTCGTCGCTGTCAACAGAGACTTTCAAGACCAGACTGCAGAAGTAAACAGTGGCTCTGAGGAACGCAGGAAACGCAGCGTTTCCGGCTAGAGAGAGGATGGTTACAATAGTTAAGACGAAGGCATCATTGTCAAAGGCTGTCACGCCTGCGTCGAGGAGCGTCATTCCAGCATTATTGAATGAAGAGACGGCTAAAAAAATGCCAGCCCACCAGGAATTTTGAGCGTTTACGGCTGTTATACTTTGGCTGTGCACGTACGACCAGGCGCCGAGCGTGATGGCCCCAAGGATCTGCCAGAGTATAAAGTAGATGCAGACAATGGTAAACAGAATCTTGAGGGCGCGATATTCGACTCCACCCAGGTATTCGCGCTGTTCTTCTGTGAGGTCGAAAAACTGGCCGTTCCTGCCGACGGACTCCTTGTTCTCGTGGATGAAAGTCTTGAAATCGAAGCTTTCTGAAACGGACTGGCGACTGTCGTCACGACTGAAAGGCCTCCTCCTCGTAGCGGTATTCGACTTGGGCGAGAGCGGCTCGGTGGAACTAGTGGAGAAGCCAAGCCTTTGGCCTTCTTCGATACGTTCCAGCATGCCGGATGGTCCAGACTCTTGCTGGTTTGTCTGGCTATGGCTCCGGCCGTGGCCCTGGGATGTCGATCCCGTCAACTGGAAGGCATCAGCCTCAGCCTGCCGCTCGTGTCTACTCTTCTTTTGCTTCCGCTTGGACCCCTTGAAGGATGACATCACAGGAAGGCCAATCATGGCTCCAGCCATGCCGACTATGGCGCCAGTCTTCTTTATCCTCCTGTTTCGTTCGGCCTCGACAATGTCCTCGAAACGCTTTTCAAAAACGCGAGCACGGAGCCAAATGGTGAAAATGGAGACGAATACAGGACTGCCAAGAACCATCATTAAGGCAATGATAGCCTGCTGGGCGGTAGTGAGTTTGCTGATGTCCACTGTGTTGAGTCCGGATGTGGTAAAGGCAGAGATGACGAGGAAAAGGCTGTCAATAAAGCTAATGCTATCAGCCGAGTGCGAAAGCCCGTGAAAGATGCCGGCAAAGATAAGCCCAGTGAATATGAAGTAGGCGTAGTGGGCTGTGATAAAGTTGACCGGAGGCAGGTATGGACGGACGGCAGCGCATGCTTCAGACATGTGGTCCGCCGTGACTGGATGGTCGACCTTGAACTTCTCCCAAAGTTGCCATGCCATCGTTGTCGATACTCGCTCCGAGGGCAGTAATGGTTTGCGTAAGTGACGCGAGCGGACAAAGACACGAGCAAGCTCACGACTGACTTCGTCGTGAGAGGTTGTCGTTACTTGATAGGAGAAAAAGGAAGGATTGACCTTGCAGGTGAGAAGTTTGGCCGGCAACCAAAGAGGAAGCGTTGCACTTCCCCCTGATCGACTCATGCGCAATGATGCCTGCTCTGGAATCATATCCGGTTGGCAGTCTGCAGGGGCGGCTTATCCCGGGCCCACCCGTTTTAAGAACAGCTCATTACCCGTGAACAGGGCTCAACGCACCACCTATTGGGCATTGGACAAGCTCACCGTTTCGTACTAATTATACCAACCATCCTGGTTAATTGTGTCTCTTCTTCAAGAGCTGTCAACAGCATCTTTTTTTTCTATCCTCTACAGTGAGCCAGTCCCTCGTGTAGAAATTCGTATCCTTCCTCTATACGACTGGGCATTGCCTGTGCCGTGTGTTCAGGTTCAATAGATTGATACTAACCTCCTTCAGAAGTGAAGACATTGCGACCGATGCAAAGGAAAATACCAGGATATTGTGATCTAGCCAGATTACATACATTCGCTTGGCATTCATCCGGGTCAAAACCCGTTGAAATTTCCCTCTTCATCCGATAGAAGCCAGGGGTATGTTGCTGTAGCCATTCGAAATGAACCTTGAGACCACCTCCAAGCCGTCTTTAAGCCGTTGAGATGGCATGCCAAGACCAATGCGGATCCATCCTGCATATTCCTTCCCAAAGCAGGTTCCTGGAACCAAGAGGACCCCTTCCTTCTCATGAAGTACTTTGCACAAGGACAAATCGTCCACAAGTCTGTCACCTCGCGTGAACTTCATGAATCCCAAGGCCGCTCCTACCGGTGCCACCCAACTGCACACATCCGAATGATGGTCAATAAAGGCCTGCACGATGAGTTTGTTCCGCTTTGCTTGCGAAATATTCTGGTGAACGATAGAAGCAGAGCGTTTTGAGTCCAGCGCAAAATCTGCGACATGTTCGTCTAATTGACTTGTGGCGATGAGGCAATAAGCACGAGCGTTAACACAAAGGTCAATGATGTCTTGGCTTGCCGACGCAAGCCAGCCGATGCGAATTCCCGCAAGAGAATAGCTTTTTGACAATGCACTGGTTGCTATGGTTTTTTCATAGCCTAGGGAGATGATAGAAGGCGGTGTTCGACTTTCGCTAAAAGAAGATGGGTAAAAAATTGGCCGGTAAATCTCGTCGCTGAAGACAATGATAGAGTGTTTTCGGGCTATGTCGATGATTTTAAGCAGCGCCGCCTCAGATAGAACTGTGCCCAGAGGATTGAGAGGATTGCTTTGATGCAATACCAAGTATTAGCTCGACTCTGTGCCCCTCTTAAATTGAGGGGAACTCACTTGATGACTATCATTTTGGTATTTAATTTGATAAGTCCTTCCAGCTCATCAAAGTCGAAGTTCCACTCGTTTTGGGGGTCGGCCTTCCAGAAGCTTACTTCTGCGCCCAACGACCCAGGAATAGCCTGAAGCTGAGGATAGCCAGGAGAAGGTACGATGACATGATCTCCAGGTCCAATCAAAGCATAGAAGACAATGAAATTGGCAAGTGACCCGCTGGCAGTGGTCAACACTTTTTCAAAGGACAAGTCCTCCGAATAGAGGTTTGCAATTTTGGATCGCAAGGAGGCGAGACCGGAGAAATCTGCGGGATAATCAAGAGGTTGAGATCGAAAAGAGGAGAGGAAGTCGTCGCAGTTCTCTTGGCCGGGAACAGCTTCAAGATCTGAGATAGATGCCGGATGCGCTGAGGTATGAGCAAGGTTGTGGCGGGTTGACGTTGATCGCTCCGCGAGCCACTAAGATAAACGATGAGTGCCGTTGCTTTCGATTGGAAACACAAAGACACTTACATGATCCACTGCGAAAAATTCGAGCTTGACCATGATTCTACGATTCGATACCAGGAATGGGCGCAAAGAGAGGAGCAGGAAGAGGTGCAGGGCAAAGGTAATGAACAATATTTAGGAAATGATCAAGCGATTAAAACAGGCCACAGAATTTTAATGCAAGTTGACTGGTATATATTTCTTTATATAAAGTCCTTCCTAGGGAGATGGCGAGTGTGCTCTGCTTGCATATATTAAGGCGCGCCCTTTTTCCAGCCCCGTGGGGCGCGCCCTTCTTGAGACTAGACATACGGGCCTCGTATATCATCAGGGCGCTAAGATCGCCTGACGATTATTAGTGGGCTTCTTGACATCCTTCAATTACTGTAGGCTGTGGGCATGATAGTGACCCGCGGGGCAAAAGCTCACCAGAGAAAATTTGTTTGTTTTTCATCAAGAAACTTCAAGTCACTATCAGATCCCCAGCATATCAAGTTAAGGACTTTTCGGCTCGACTGGCGCCGAAATCTCAAACTTGGGCGGGGCGCGGCTCTTTGAATAAATAAAAAAGCAGCTTTAATCATGGCTCTGCAAGAGAACAGTTGTCTTGTCTATGAACATTTCGCTAAATTCATTTTTTCCAGAGCAGTTTATAATATCTCCTCTTAACCGTGACAATAAACTGTAATGCGGACAATTCTTGATTCGGCGGCAGATGCTTTCGGCTGCACACCTCTCGTGCGCCTAGATCGAATCGCGTCTGCTCTCGGCCTCGATGGAACGATTTTTGCTGAACTTGGCTATCTGGATCCTGGTGATTCGAAAAGGGCCGTGTCGCGTTCGGCATCATAGAGGAAGCATAAAGGTTGAGCACACTCAAGCCCGGCCAGCCAATTGCTGAGCTTACGAGTAGCAACGCGGGCACTGAGCTTTCGATTGTTTGCGCCAACAAAGGCTACAGATTCGTCGCTGCCATGCACAAGGGACTTTATTGGACGTGCCACAAGATGGCCGCACTGGGCGCTGAGGTTTTGCTCATTTACCAAATGCCAGACTCGGTACCTAGAGATGTTTCGAGACCTTATCTGCAACCTGTGGGAGAAAAGGTAAGACAGATCGAAATCAAGCTCAGGGCGTTCCGTGCCGACAAGTGGTTCACTCGCGACGGAAATTGGTAGACCCATTACAACGGAACTGGGACGGAGCTTTGGGACAGAGCAATGGCAATCTTGATGGGTTCGTTGATTACGTCGGCTTAGGAGGCGCATCTGCTTGTGTGACAAAACGACTCAGGGCACTGAACCCATCCAGCAATGCTTCACTGTCGAACCCCACGAAGCAGCCGTCTTGGCTGATCAGCCTGTTTCTCGACCAGTGCATCCTATTCAGGAAAAAGACTATGTGATGACTAGCGTGATTGCGCGCAAGGAGGGATTATTTGGAGGGTTCTCCCGCGGCGCGAACATAAGCGCGGCTTTTGAATTGCTCAAGGGGCCCGTGCAAGGGTTGACGGCTTCAATCGTAATTTGCAACTCAGGTCAAAAGTACCTGTCAACCAATCTTTGGGCTGATATATCAAAGAAATGATGTAAAGCTAGCTATTCTCTGCGAAATACGCGGGAAAAAACTAAGGAAGGCCATTCTCGCCCTAGGAACATCTCTTTGCTAAGTTCGACGCCAGTTGCACGCTTTTCTGTTCTCTTGTTCACCTGAGTCGATTTGACATGATTATCTCGCATCTTCCTCGGTGATAGGCAAATATGTCACGAAACAGGAATGCTATCGCTTTGTCCCGTGCTACTCCGCGTGAACCTCACATTCGCTCAGCATACAGACTGCTCTCTTTTCTTCGACTTAGATGAGTTGATTCAATCCACTTTGAACCCACTCCATGTGCCCATTTCTGCGTTCCATAACTCTTGACAAAAGAGTTGCTGGTGACGTTGCCAGCCTGACTGGAAGTAAGTGGACCATACAGTAAGGTAGCCACGTGCTATCAGTACCCTAAGTAGAACTCATACTGAGAGCAACATCGCGCGGCCCTCAAACGGATTGTCTGTCCTTTGTACATTGTCGCAAGTTGGACAAATGCACCACACACCTATGGCACCATTCGTTCCTAGCAAAAGTGGCTAAGCTCTGAGAAATGGCTGCCCATTCACAACAGCCACGAATGGCCACGTAAGCGTGATTCATTTTGAGCGAAGAATGTATCATGTGGCTAGCTGAACACAATATCTCTACAGCCCCGCCTCAAGAGAAGACCTGGAGAACGTTCTTTGACTGTTATCTCAAGAAAGCTAACAACGATTAGAATTTGACCCCCTGTAAGACTTAGCGTTCTCAATGCTGGAGGCCTGGATATTGTCAACAAGCTAGGGAATGCATTTCCCCTTATGCGTTAAATGGAGCACAAAATCTACCTTAATGCGGAAACCAAAGAGCAATAAGAAGTTGCATTCTCCTCAACAAGCCTTGTCTCGCACAGTGCAGTTGATGGTTGTACTACATTCGCTATTACTTTCCCTATTCGAATTGTATTTTAAGGATACACCAAGCTTCGTTTATGGGCTTAAGTTGTGGAGTCTGAGGATTTCAACCGTCTCTGGGACGCTTCAAAAGGTTGACAAGCCATTGGAGAAAGTACCTATTGACGAATGTTGGCCACCTAGCTGAAATCCTAGAAACTCAACGCCAAAAGCTGATCAATCAGCACGGCTATTTCAGGCTTTGGGGCTGCATATTACAATAACGGGCCCATCGGAAACCTGCATGCCTCTCACCGGTATTGGAACAGAAAATGTCAACGCCACTGCACCCAGTCTATACGCCCAGAGAGAAAGAGTTTCCTTTGCCTGACAAGGCAGCATGCCTCGATATTACTATCTGGCTGTTCGGATGGATCATCGAGCCCGAAAAAGAACTGCGCTAGGCCATTCCCTTTCTCAATCCCGATCATCAAATGATGCAAGGCTCCGACTTTGCAGCAGAGGAGTCTACAGGCTTCACGCGGGCAAAGACCAAGGCTCATTTCTGCTATTCCCACTCATGGACTCGTGACTTAGGGACACAAAGGACTTACGTGTGTTGAATCATGGTTTGTTTATCTAACTTTGAGAATGCACACAACTTCGGTATCAGAAGAGCTTAAGCTCTCAATCTAGTCACTAAACTCCAGCAGCTCTGACATCGATGCTTTCAGATGGCATGTTCCATGCATGTTACTGTTCACATCCGCTCAATCGGAGATCAACGGCCACAGTTGATGTTCCAGGATGTGATGCCATTCCCAAAGAGATCGTCGAAATGAGGAGTCTCCCAGGTTCCATCTTGGTGTAAGGCTTGGAAAGAGTACACTGGTACTTGCGACGGCTCAGTCGAAGTTGCAGAGCCGTTGGTCTTGTCATTTCTATTCAGTCCAAGCGTGTGCCTAGCACTTCGAGGAAGCATTGCTCCAAACTCGCACCCTGTTGTGACGGTAGATGAGCCGGGATCGCCCAGAGCCTGAAAGCCCATGAGCGTAACCGGAGCTGTCGGGGTGGGATCTCCGGAAGTAAAAGATTCTTCATTTCGTTTTCTTGCGCCTGTAGCATACTCTAACCTTTTTACCGCGTTCTGGATGACTATCATTAATATATGAAGAGTTCTTGTTGTAGCTGGCTCCCAAAAACTCTTGAAGCAGTAGGAAAGACTCATATGAGGGCAAAGTCTGCAGGCAAGGATCACTCTGTTATATTTTACATAATACAGATATAAAGAGCTATTATCGCGTTGATAAAATAGGGATGAAGCCATTTGGTAGGAAGATTAGTGCTGTGACCAATGGGAAGTTCAAGTACAGTCAAAGATACGGGAGACAGTGGCAAACAACCTGAGCTTCTTAAAACGATTGGTGTCGATCATTGTATTTACAAGCTGGGTAATAGAGCGGGCAGCGGCTGAGTACAGTATCCCATAACTTTTCATTCTCGTGACCATCGAAATCATGGAACAGATCAGAAGTCTTGAGGTAATTCAAATTTAGTCTCAACTTGGATAGCACTGAACGTTAAGGGGGAACATGCACACTGAGCCGCAATACCAGGCACCAATACTCGACATCACCTTGTTTCTGAGGTTCACCTGGAGGAAATTGGAGTCTATACGAGGTACATGAGGTCAGGCAAATGGAAAGGGAAGTTAAGGTGAAGGGCCGGAACTCGGAGATGATTGTCCAACAAGCCGCTCATAGCCGAGTAGAAAGGATTGAATCAACCAATCACGTTCAACTCCAAGTATTCCTGTGGAGCATTCTCTGTTGGTCATGTCTTACTGGTTATGACAACCTGCTTCAATCGATTAGACCACCCCGCATAGTAGTCTGCCAAGCTCACTTCGAAAAGGTTCTTGACCTATCAACCGCTTACTTCCCTCGATAGGATCCATTCGGATACGGTTGATTCACTCAAACTGATTGGACTGACCATAGTAAGCTGGATGAAGGGAAGGCTTTCACTTTTTTGTCGCTTAAGTATGACAATTGAGTATGGTGTCGGGCACAGAAACTGCGGGATTTACTTTAGGCTAGCGATCCATTATCTGTGATGTCACATCGTATGCGCCTGGGCAAGCCGTTGTAAGAAAGAGATGCTACGAAGGTTTCCTCGGCGTAAGCGCTATAGGCACCCAAAAGGGCAGTTTATTGTAAACTTGCAGGCCAATGCTTCAAGGATCAATGCCAAGAAGCGGGCAGACTAGAGGCATGTCTTGCACGAAAGGACTTCCCGAGCTCGTCCTATCCGCCGGGCACTTGCCGGACTGCGCGCACAAATTGATAGTAGTTGAGGACAGCAATTGCAATATGCGATCCAGCAAGGTAGATTTTGAGGGACTTAACTCGAAAAGGTGAAGAGAATAGCACGGCATGAAGAGTCTCATGGTTTAAGGCTTCCACTCAATGCCGATGGGGGAAACGCCCGCGAGCGGTAAAGAGAGTTTCACCGGGGCGGTGGCGATGCCCTCACATGTTGTCTAGATATGCATAGGATACTTCAGACTGATGTCAGCTAGCAACTGGCGCCCCATCTGCGATGTAGTAAGACGGCACAGGAGGGGCCACCGTATCATGACTCCGAGCAGTCATCGGCAACTCTTTCTCTTATTTAGAATAATAGACCTCATAGTACAGACAACTTGGAAAAGAAGGGGTATAAAGCCAGGTTACTTCCTCATCAACGATGGTTCTTTTTCCTTCTTCTTCACTATCAATCTCTCATCATTCAAACTCAGTAGTATCGTGACAAACACCACCGCCGCTCGAACTCATTATGTACTTCTCATCACTTCTCGTTGTCCTCGCGGCCACCGCGTCAGCCATCGACATTAGGGCCCACGTTGGCGACAACTGCGCCGGAGGTTCAGTCGCTTGTACCAACATCAATCCAAACGTGTGCTGCTCTTTCAGTAGCTCTGCAAGCAGCGGCAGATCGAGCATTGCTGTGGTTGCCGTATGTGAAAACCTTTTGTTTTGCTATCAAAATTTTATGAACTAATGATTGCCGAGCCCAGATTCCAAGCAACTGGCGCATTCGCACTGAGGCATACACGGGCGGTGGATGCTCATTCTTTGGGGGTCAGCGCGATTCGGGCGGTAGCACAAGCGTCTGTCTGCCTTACACGACGCGCGGCGACCGCACGGGGGGGCAATACTGGTTTCTCAACCGCAAGCGGGCTGTCGACGAGTCTTGCCCCACCGAGCAGCCCGGTGCCGGTAAATGCGAGGCTGTCGTCAAACCTGATACCCTCGGCCTCGCAGACGGCACTGAGTATGACATTGTAGGCCTGACGGATGAGAAACTTCAGGAGCTGGTGAGTGGAATTGAACTTCCAAAAAAGAACCCTGTATGCATGAGACTCAGACGAGATGCTGACCTATTTCCCCTGTCTCCAGGAAAATATTGCCAACACTGGTGCTGATGCCGACGCCGTACCTGCCGAATTTCAGTCTCTACGTAAAACGGAGTCTTGAGGCTATGCACAAGCCCTTAACCAGGATCAAGTATACTGGATGGAAGCTTGAATCAAGCAGGAGCAAACTGGAAGTATTTTACTGGGGTTCGGCCATGCGGGCTTGTAATGATATATGTACCTTATCTAACAAGGTCCCGGCTAACTATATTGAACCAAATAAACTCAAATCTTGGCGGGAAACGGTGTTTCTTGCTCATATGTGATAGTTTTTATGATCGGAATGCTACCTGTTCACTAACACAGATCAAGGCTCCAGAGGCATAGTGGCAACCTTTCAAGAGCATCAATATCATGCGCAACTTTGTGCGAAACCCAGAGGGTACCGTTCATAGTCCAGTTCTATGGGCGTGATGCAGTCTTCTGGCTTGTATGTAGCCGCACGGAGCCATCTCAACTCCTTCGCAATAGATATAAATGTCTCAGAGCACGTCACGATACACGGCACGCCACTGTGAATAGGTAAGTAGGATACGGCTCGCCTCTATTCAATCCAACTTTAGGAGGTAGCGGGCAACTTAATATCAAAAAGTTGTACATGCTGTGGCAACTCTGACACTCAAAGAAAGAGGACGCCATCCGTCCTTTGGGCATCTAGAACGAGAACGGTTAGCTCATAAAGGTCGACCAAACACAGTTAGTCAACCCATAGCTAGGTAGGCAACAAAGATTTAGCTTTGCATGAATGGGTCACAGCACTTCAGTCCTCACACCTGACAGACCACCTCCATCTTCGATAGCCTCACGATCATTACAAAGACGAAGTTGCTCTCCTCGTCTTCGGGCGAACTGGGAAAAACAACTCATGCCCTCTCACCCCTATCGAATTTCAGCCTGTTTATCCATCTCACCTGGGGTACCAAACAGCATCATGTCTGCAGTATTATCACATGTGCCCATTATAGAATACTCTCCAATCTCGCCCGAAGACACCTTTTTCTTCCAGGAAGCCATCGCCCTCGCCGACCAAATTCTCAAACTTTCCTCTACCAGGCCCCTTTGCCCAGCTACGAAGAAGAAGGCCAAGGACCTCAAGGAATTCGCTCACGAGGGCCTCTTCCCAGACTCCAGAGCAAACGAGCGCCACACCACAGACGACTATCGCTGCGACGTAATCGATCACACGAAAGATCTACTGGGGTATGTTGCAGATGAAGCTAAGTATCACGATCTCACCACCAAGCTGTGCCGAATATTCCGCGAGCATTATGTCCTAAAGTACACGTACTGTCATGTGGATGACTTGCCGGTAGCGCTTCACAAGCTGTGCGGGGCCAGAAGTTATAGTCGCTGCTTAAGTTTTGTCGTATAGTCACAATAGCGGCATCGACGTTGAATGTAGAGAACGGTTGTCTATTCAAAGTAGGAAATGGGCACGAGGTTTCGCCCTGAAAGAGAGAGTGCAAGCGAGTGTGGTCCTCGGTGATTATGTAACCGGGGTCGCGTGACATGCGGTGAGGCCACGGATGGTTGAAGCCATCACGACGGATTTCATACGCACGCGGATGAATCCAACCTGGGATGAGCTGTTGCGGGGAATGCAGGAAACATTACTCATGTCGAACTATGAGTCCGCGCTGAGGGAGCGTGAGCGAGAGTTGGAAAGGAAGCAAAAGCGAGAATTGGAAAGGGAGCAAAAGTCGACTCCTAGAAGTTGGAAATCCACGTACGTGAATCTCCATGTTCCCGCAGTGAAACCGTGGAATTCCACTGCACCTGGGCCGTGGGACTTCCCAGCGTCTGTAATCCCATTTTCGGAGCTATGTGGTTCATTTGCACCTGTATCATGGGACTCATCAGAGCCTGGGCTGTGGGATTCAACAGTGCCTGAACCCGAGGATTCGACATCAACGGAGCTGTGTGATTCTTCTTCACTTGAGGTTTCGGATTCACCAGCGCTCGGGCTTTTGGATTTAGTTGGGGACTGGGACCCAATGGATAGCAACCAGAATTCGATACTGCCTCTCACAAAAGAGCCAATGTCAATCGACGCTGTACCGACGACCGGATTTTGGGAAACAAACGAGGACCCTGAATTAACTAATAGCAAGCAGGATCCCTCCCCATCTCCCACTCTGGGGACAAGCCCCCCTCTCTTCCGTCCACTTACCCCATCAACAGACACCATCAAAAGGATCGCACACCTATTCTGTGAGGACGGATGGACTAACAGGGAGTACGCGCAAGAGCGTGCCGACTTCCTCCAATTCCTTAAGGAAAACACACCCAGCGGCCGCATGCAAAGGGACTACAACCGCTACACGGAGAAGCTCTTGCGTGGAGAGTTCAACGAGATAGCCGGCCACCTCCGCCGCGACAGGAACCTTCTCAAGACAAGGCTATACCGCGCAGAAGACACGAGCCTGCGATCGGCCTTCAACGACGCAATTCACAAGAAGGAGAAAACCTTGTTCTTGGTGAACAAGTACGTATTCAATGGTCACGATGACCCGTTCTGGAGGGTGTACCCGACAAAGGAGGCGGTAGAGATGAGCGCGTTCCAGGACTACTGGGAGCAGAGGCCTAGACGTCGCACTGACGATGAAGATGACTCCTTTGGAATATTTGACATGGGTCTCGGACCATTTAGTTAGTGAGCAACGAGTGGTAGTTACGCCGGACGGGACTCCTTCATGTGGCTGGGAGTTGTGTGGCTGGGAATTTCGGTAATTACGAATATAAAGACCATGGCTTTCAATATGAGTACAGGCATCATTGACAAGTCATCGTACCTTGGAGAGGTTCAATCCGAATCTTCCAGACCGGATATGGGGCATGTTTCATACGAAGCGAGTTGAATGTTGGTCCCGGGGTTTGTCGGTGGTAAGCAGTAAATCAAGCTCACGTATCAATCCGTTTGTTCCTTGAAAGTACTATTTCCGAAAATTCTTTCTTCCAAGGGCCATCCAGATTCTTTCATTGCGCCTGCAGCCCATCCTTTTTGCCCCAGTAAACATCTCTTCCTTTGAACATGGATTGAGCTCGATATGGGAAAACTTTCGAGAGCTATGTCATATCTGCTAGCCTTCTGTGGTGGGTTGTTAGCATACATTCATGTCAAGTGAGAGGAAGACACGTACAATGGCCACAGACGCCGTGATAGCGATGGTCGGCACTCATTGCATTGACGCGAGCCGATACCGTTGAAGTTTGGACCAGGTCCAGACAAAGTTCAACCTTGACGATACGTGTAAAATCCTCTTGATCCCGTGACAGGATAGGTTGAGTGTAGTCTCGGAGGTAGTCCACGTCAACATTGGCGGTGCTCGGATCGAGAGAAAAGTGGCAGTGGTCGCGCCCGTTGTCGTTGTTGATGAGGCACAGTCATAGTCTGTGGCGCAGATAATAGACCGCCCAGCGTGTGTTGTGGCGACCTTGGCGTCTGAGCTGAGCTCATGCTCGTCCATGTACATGACCTGATTGCGAACTCTATCCACATCGTCAAGCTAGTTGGGAGTGTAGCGGATATCAGTGTTGGAAGGGAATTTGAGGGCGGGAAGAACGGGGGCCAGGGCCTCGTATTCGCTCCTTCTGTCTTAAGAATCCATCAACGCTCCTTCTGATTTCAGTGTTTAGTACAGCTGACTGGTTCCTACCTGCCCGTCCTGCTTTCTAAAGTAGGCAACCTGCCTGTACACGCCTCCTGCCCATCTACGCCAGACGTGTCGAATTACATCAAGGTGGCGGGTGACTTCCCCATCTACCAGCTTACGGTCCCCTACCCGTCTGGAAGAGCGTGATCAGGTATCCGCTCAGCCTTCCGGACACGGACAGCGGTAGTTCTGACTGTAATGGAAGTACGTCTCTCCATTGTGCAGTAATAGAAGGTGGTCGTACCGAAATCGCGAAAATGTTGCTCCAATTTCCAAGTGAAGCTATTCACCAGCGAACGCAAGTCAGTCGTGGTCGAGAAATCACGCATTTACCACCGAATTTGAAGAGCTTAGAAGTCAACATTGCAGACAAATATGGCAAGACGGCGCTCCATCTGGCTGATGAGTTCAGAGTCCCGAAGACGGTCAAAATGCTGTTAGACTACGGGGCCGATGCGGCTATTACTAAAATTCACGAATCTTTGACCAGTCATGTCTTGCATTTACAATCAAAGGAACTTGGAACTCAAGCACTTCAAGACACTCAAGACAGAGGCCGGTATAAAGATGTACTGAGGTTGCGAATGCCTGTGACTAGGAAACATATCCCGTTGAATAGAGCCTGTATATGAGCAGCGGGTGGGAATGCATGCAGTACTAGTAGCACTCTCGGATCGCTGGGAATTGCAATTTTAACTGCCAAGGGAACTAGAGATTCAGAAGCGACGCTAAGAACTGAGTGATTGCCTTAATGGCGTTGGCGTGAACTTGAACGACTCGCGCAAAGCCCCAGTTGAGACGGGCACGCGCTCGGCTTCGCAATCAATCCCACTCGGCCCAGAATTTCCAGGTCCCCAACTCATTTGTTGCGTCTAAGCTCTGACGGGCCTAACCAGGCCAGACCGCCGCTATCGCTGGTTCTGTTATCTACGACTAGATCTCAGGGCGCAGCTGTGCTTTACACGGCCCGGAAAGCAAAACTCAATAACTGAGAGACGATATATATGTACTTCAGTATCAACTCCAATCTCATTCCGGAAACACGTTGGCGTGAATTTCCATAAGGGGGTTCCAGCTAACTAGAGAATCGCTGTCAGTATCTGGTGAAATACTGTTTTGGGAACTAACATTAGGGTTTACATATAAACTTTTCGCCGGCATGCAGGGCAGTATCAGATAACGAGTCTGTTGTATCAGTGATATTACACAGCGAGTCAAACCCCATGAACCTCTCGCAAGGCTGCGAATTTAAGCCTCAATTTTCGCAAATAAAAAGCGGATAATGCCAGACCTCAGACGAAGTTGTAAATACCACCACACACCAACAGTTCCCAACTTATTTATCTTTATTAGCCAATCCTGCCTGTCGAAGTATCAACCGACACTCGTTAGGTATGATGAATTCTGCCTCTCATTCCAAAGTCGTCGTGTGAACTGATCAAAAAACTACTTAAAGTCACAATGCAGCCCTTCACCTTCGTTCTGACCACCGTCTTCGCCGCCACGGTAACGGCACAGGGTTGCCATTTCTGGGTTCGAGAGAAGTCGACCGGGAACAACGTGTTGCAGAAGTGTCTCCAAAAGAACGAGGGGACAACCGCCTTGATCAATGGCGCATCAAGCGTGTACCTCCAGGCCGACTCTAACTGCCGGGTGACGGTGAGCAATACCGGATACAACACGGGGCCTGTGGGATTCGACGCGTACTACGACGGCTCTTGCTAAAGTATGTTTTCACTCGCCTGACGTTGGATCACTAAAGTTGTGCTGACGTTGTTCGACACAGTGCAACGCCTGTGCCAATATCGTGGCAATTTCTGGTGTTCTTGCGAAGTTCATTTGTAATTTTTTTTTCCCACCGTGTACATACAATTGCGAAGCGAATGGCGTTGAGTGGTGGAAGGATTCGGGGTCGCCAGGGCCAACCTGCTGCCGGACAAAAGCTAAGATACTCAATGTGTTCAATTGGCAAAATCTCCAAAGTGTACGGTCGTTGGTGCCGAACGTTTCCCTCGTGACAATGTCTAATTACCCGAAGTCTACTCGGTGAATGGAACATGCCAGCAAGACAGTTTTGCGAATGACATGAGTATGCTTGGAAGCCCGGTTCGAGTGGAGAGACGTCATCCTTACCCGCCCTGGTTGGGAGGAGCTAAGTCTTACACGCAGAACCAGGAGTCGTCCACCACCGTAGAATGCTGCGCTCCATCCCTCGTGTAGTAAAGAGCTTTAGATGAACGCTCTCGTTACCTTGGTGCTGGACCTTACTTCAGCCCTTTCAGCAGCTGTTCGGCTGCCCTCCGACTAGATGCATAAGAACCGAATGAAGCTAGAATGTTTGACTTGGTAGCTCGGGCGATCGACGAGGCTTTGATGCGGAAATGTCTCGGCTTGACTTTGCCTCGGAATCTGGAAGCTGGCAAAAGACATGCAGCCAGGAGCGGTCGAATTAAAAGCTGCCGTAGTCAAAGTGATAGGCTTAGCCCACCTGCCAGCTACACCAAGGGTCTTCGAATAGCCGCCGATGGATGAAATGTATCCGCAGCGAGGATGCCTGACGGTGCGCCTGGGACGGTCCCCCTTGTCGTAGTGCATTTGCGATGGTGTGAGATCTTTCCCTCTTGCCAGGCTGAGAACATCCCCTCTAATTCTGTTGAGTTGGTGGTCATGTAACAATTCATGCCCAGAATAATATTCAATATTTCAGTCGGAAGTCGCGAAGATTGATTCGTCATCCTTTCAACAAGCGACATGGTGCTCATTGCAGGGTTGGCGGTCAATTATGGCGACACCATCGATGGGCAAACCCACAGGCACTTGCGAGTGGCTTTGCAGTGGCTCTGCAGTGGCTCAAATGCAGCAGAGCGGAGCACTTGCGTCCCTTGTCTAGTGGACACGGCTATGGGAGGGCTCAGGTCGCTTCTAGCACCAACCATTACATCGTAAGAATATTGCGTAAACTAGGTAGGATTTAGGGAGTTCCATGGTGAGAAACGTGCTGATTGATTATTAGTGGTTGGAAGGTGTTTGTTGGTGGGGTCTTAGCTATGGCTGGTGAAATTGAGGACTCCCAGTGCTCGTGCTATTTCAGTATCCAATTCAACAGAATTGGCGAGCAGTTCGCAGCAAGGTGACGACATAGTAGGATCACCACAAATCGAAAACTCTAAGCCTGTGGGCCCCCGCCTGGTAGATGGATAGATGGATGGATGGATGGATGGATGGACTAGAGGGCAGCCTGAAATGAACTAATATAAGCTACTGATTTAGCACGCACCGTCCGACTATTATCTGTAAACGTCTTCTCAAAAACATATACTAACACGCTGTAGCCTGTGAGTTGAGATCCTGTACTCACTCACCCTACTCACCTTGCTCGCGCTTCTCATGCCACCTTAAGGCGGCGGGTGATCTGGCCGCACCTGAGCGACATAGTGGTGATACATTTATCTATCAAGTGTGTTTCTATCAGCGGCATACTGTTGAATTGTGCCAGACAACTTCACTCAAGGTACATCGACCTGGCTAGTCCGATAAGTTTGTAAGAAACTGGAGGAACTTCCGGGTGTTCATCCCCAAAGCCTACTTGAAATCAGCCTGAATATGCGAGAGTGGAAACTAAAACTTCCCGGATCATCAACAAGGGAAGCTGCGTATCGCCCGCAAAGATCACATTAATCGCTCCTTTTTCCTGCGTTGCCGCATTCTCCTGGCAGCTTACTATTGTTTCCAAAAGTCTTGGTTACTTGCAGTATCAAATTTGTCCAATTTGCCTCCAGGGGATATGTCCACTTTGGTTCTCGTCTACGTCCCGTATGACTCTTCATGGTTAGGGAGAAGAGTCCACGCTTGGCATAACGTGAGCCTTGCAACCTTAGGCTGTGTACTAAGTGCTTCGTACTGGGAAAAGCAAGTCTACTTCGTCGGCCTTTTTTATTGCTCTGGAAACACAACAATATCAGCATAATCGCGGTTCTTCTTTCATCGAGAAGCCGAGGCTGAAAAGTTGTGTGACATGAGAGGCATTCCGAAAGAGATGTCCGACCTGGTTGGACATTCTGAAGAGGTAATTGGCCGACATGCCGACATGAGTTCTACGAAATGGTCTTTATGCAATGCGTTAGTGACGAATAGTTTCCTTTTTACAAGTGAGATGGCCCGTCGTGAACACGACATAGACATCACGACAATGCGCTTAGAGATACCTTACGGAGGTAGGAGTGACGGTTGGCGTGATACCACTATGAAATCCCAATCAGTAGACAGGCGTGACTTGGTCGAACGAATCTGAGTCCATTGTGAGATTGACATCATATTCATGAGGCTGTACTTTAATAGAGTTTCAGATCATCCTTCTAAGCATTGCGGGCCGAGCCTATGACAGGCAAACTGTGTTATACCCATGGTATTAGGCCAATGCAACTTCAGCTCGATCAGCCTACGCACAGATCCCTCAGAATGCTTCGATACGATACACCGGCGGCATGTCTCTTCCGTACTAAAGCATGGACACTGTGCCATTCTTTCGGTGAAAGCCCGAAAACAGGCTATTCCGATTTTACCGAGGCCATCGTTGCACATATGCTGACTTTTGAGGCTTACTTATTGGTCAGTCTCAATCAGAACCCGGTTCCGAGCTTCCCCGCTGAAGCTAGGGTCTCGGCACAGGCCCCCTGATCGGGAACATCTTCCATCGTGGGGTTCCCTCAAGAAGAACGCAGGGGTCAAAGTCAATTTCGTATCGCGCAGCTGTAAGCTCGTTCTGGTACTCAACGCGGCCTTACATACGGATATGGAATCGCGTCAAGTTGATCACCATGACAAAAGAACTTCAGGGACCACAATGCTTACTTGATCCCTAGTCTGGGAAGAAGACAAGAGAAAGACTTATCTATGGTCGGCCACCCGGCCGGTTGAACGCAGCTTTTCAAGCTCGAAGTGTTACTTTTTTTGCTCCTCCTCTACGCGTCACTCCTTTTTGCCTTCTCTATCCCTCGCTGTCTCTCCTTTTGCCAATCATGCTTGTCAAATCCACATTCGCTCTCTCTCTCGCTTTCGCAGCGGACGCATTCGCTGTCAGACGTGGGTCCAATGACTGGTTTGCGCCTACTCCCGCCGACCGTAATACTCACAATCAGATGAATATACGAATCTGAAGCTCCTGTTGACACTTCTCAGGTCGTAGCCCCTGTCCAATGGTGAACACTCTTGCCAACCACGGATACCTCCCCCGTAGCGGCTTGAATGTCTCTCTTGCAGACCTCATTGCCGGCTTTACGGCAGCCGTTAATCTGGATCCTGCTGCTACTACTTTGGTGGGACAAAAGGCTCTGCTCACGTCCACGACTGGCAACAACGCGACATTTAACCTGGACGATCTCAATACCCATGGCAGTGAGTCAACTCGACCCTTAACATTGTGTGCATACCCTAAAGTCAGTGGCAGTCATTGAACACGACGGTAGTCTAAGTCGTAATGACATTTACTTTGGCGACAACCACTCGTTCAATAAAGACATTTGGGAATCGGTAGCGGTCGCCTTTACAAACACTACTATCAGCATCCCAACAGCCGCCAAGGCGAGGGTAACGCGTCTGCAAGCCGCTGCTGCTGCTAACCCTGTCTTCAACCTGACGGCCGATGGCACCCAATTCAGCTTCATTGAAACAGCTCTTTATCTCTCTGTCTTTGGAAATCTGGAGGATGGAAATGCCAATACCGAATGGGTGAAGGTTTTGTTCAGTATGTCCAATCTTGCCTTCTTGTTGCCATGGTTCGTATGCTTACACATAACCCTTAGCTCAAGAACGCCTGCCGTTCCGGGAGGGATTCTCAAGGGCAAGCTCGCCAATCACTGCAGCAGGAATCCTGGGCTTAGTTGCTAAAGTGGCCGCTGCAAGTGTCTAATTCAATATCTTCAATTGTTGCAGCTGGTGGGTAATGCAAGAGCCTGCTAAAACAATGTGTGAGTTTCCTTATCCGCATATGTAAATCTATCCAGAAATTTGATTTCACATAACTACCTCGGTGTATGAACTTTGCCACCCTAGGCTGGAGACGGAATCAAGAAAAGGCTCTCGTCACTCAGTGTATTCCATGCGTTCAAATGTAATCGTTGACGGATCTATTTAAATTATGACGTGTATTCATTTTTATGTTCTGCCTTTGCTGGCTGCTCGGGCGGTTCTCGATATCGATTACACGGTATTAATACACAGTATTAGTGAATACTCTCACTGTCTCGATAGACTAATTATGATGTGTATATTTGATATCCTGGAGCCGTAGTAAGTGAGTAAGGTAGCCAACACAACGTATATGAATATGTCGACTGGAAAACCCGAGGCTTGGGGGTGTAACCATACCCCAGTGGGGCAACTTTTCCCTACAAACAATGGGCTTGCCTCTTATATTGCAAGGAAGAGGTCCATGTCGTGTTAACATTGAGGGATTCATGCACAGAGCTCAAGAAGCAGATCATTTAGGTTCCGTTCCAGATGCAGCAGAACTGCGTCTATGGCTCCGATTGAAATGTTTAGCCACCTGAACATTGACTTGTTACATTTCGCGGCAAATTCCGGCGACAAGACATCAAGCTCTGTGTGGCTTCAATCTTTTTCTTAAAGTGAGAGAGCGAGAAAGTGAGTAACAGAAGAGGGGTACCACAAACATGACTAGAACCTGACTCATTCGGTTTAATTCCAGCCATCGGTACGTCACGCTGTCACGATTTGTTGAGTAAACATATTGACATCAGCAAGGGTAATGCCTTAACGCCTACAATCTACCCCGGCCGTGTCTGCCACAGAGGTTTATGATCTAACAGGTTCCTTGAGATGCGTTAGCACTTAGTGTGTCAAGAGAATCGACCCGCCAGTGTTCATGCGCATGTGATCAGAACACCAGAGTTCTTGGTGTTCCCAATATTTTGCACATGGCCTAGGCGATCCTTATTTGGGGTTTGAAACTACAAGCTATCTTATGTTCATGTCCTCTGAACAGTTCGGTCCCTTGTCTCCGCCAATGCAAACCAACATGTGACGGAGCATCATCCATTCGGCGGGAAGGGCTAATGTCATCCGTGATAGGTTTTCTGATGGTTAGATGAAAGGTCCCTGAAAGCTTCTTCCTACTTGCTCTAGTCTAGCCTACGGGCCAAGGTACATCTTTCATCGCGTCTCATGTGCTCTGACTACGACAGCGCCCATAGCGCTCAGCTCGCACATGAACGAGTCAAAGAGACTTCCGCATCGAATGATGCCGATCTTCGATAGCCTCGGCTTTTGATCGACTCGGCTTGGATGTGATGCGTCGCATAGCTTCGCATAGCTTCGCATAGCCACACTGAGCCTCGGAACCATATGAAACACACATCTCTGTACCTACCTGCAATCAAGATATCGACTCTGGCCCAAGCGCAATGGCGCTTCAATCAGGTGTCAAAAGGAGAAGTCTTGTCAATACTACATAAGGGTCTGACGTGTTGTCCGAGCTTATTTCAATGTGGGGGTGGGACACGTGAATGTGGTAGTGCCGAGGATCATCATCAGATGAAACTATATATACCGTGATTGTAGATCACCTACCTGGTTGATAATGATAGTGTGGTACAACACTCATTGCTATCAACCTTTAGGCGTCTCTGACGAAAAACCTGTCAGTATGTCTTCTACTCTCACGACAACTACGGCGAGCCAAGGACAAACTGTTAGGATCGAAAGCAAAGATCCTATGAGGTCAACCTGGCGTCGCAGCGACAAGCGCACGTGGAAGATCGGTCACTGGATTATCGAACGTCTAGGACTCTATCACGATGAGCTTGACCGACCTGCGCCCGTCCACTCCAAAACCGAATCAGTGCCTTATGTCCCACACTGGCAGTTCCATCGGTGGATACTGCTACACGCAACAATACCTCTCCTACTTCATCAAGGTTTTGTATCCTTGACTGGATATAACGTTCACCCCGTAGCGGCTTTCGTATTCTACAGCGTGGCGATAAAGGCTGTCGCCATCCACCAAATCAATACCATGCGCGGTCTAGGCCAACGCTACGGATTCCTTGATGGCGACAAGCATGAACGCGACGGAGTCCCCGACAAAAGTGTCAAAACAGTACTCGAGTCACTCATATCTACTGCCACATTTCGATCAATGATGGCTGTGATTCTTTCGTACCGTTCGAACGAGGCTCCGGCCACAATAAATTGGATGCTTCTTCCTCTCGAGATTGGTCTCTACGGTGTTGTCTTGGATTTTTGGTTTTATTGGTATCACCGACTTATGCACGAGGTCGACTCGTTGTGGAAGTACCACAAGACACACCACCTTACGAAACACCCGAACCCTCTTCTCACGCTTTTCGCGGACAGTGAACAAGAGTTCTGGGACATCGCCGGTATCCCTTTCTTGACGTGGGCGACGCTCAAGCTCGTAGGGCTGCCAATGGGCTTTTACGAATGGTGGTTCTGTCAGGAATATGTTATTTTCACTGAATTGACGGGACATAGCGGGCTGCGTCTTTATGCCACAACTCCGACACCTTTCGCATGGCCGCTTCAGTTTTTCAACTGCGAGTTGGTGCTTGAGGATCATGATCTCCATCATCGGAAAGGCTGGAAGACTAGCGGCAACTACGGCAAGCACACTCGATTGTGGGATCGTATCTTCGGAACCTGCATGGACAGAATCGAATGTGCTGCCGATTCTGCTGACTACACGAATACAGCTGTCATTCCACTCTTGTAAGAACAGAGGTAGCTACCCCAAAAGCTAGATAGATCCTTTGATCTTACCGTGATGGAACAACTCAAGCCCATCACGGGTGGTGGACGAGAATAACAGTGTCGTTAGAGAGAAACACCGAGAGGGGTAGGAACCTAGGAGGTAGTGCAATATAAGACTAGAGTATCTTTCCCAGAAGAGCAGCGCATCTAAGTAGAGAGGCTATTGTACATCACACTGCATTTCTTGCCATGCATAGTCGTACTAAGCTAACCAGCAGTGAGTTTTCGCACATGATGAGCAGCAACTGTGTCGTGGTGACAGATACACCTCTTCTTGATTGAATCTGAGCGTATTAACCAGACGGATGTGTCAACGCGCAATTCTGACATGGTTTCTACTCTCCGACGGCTTACCCTATCAAAGTATCAGGGGACCTACGGATCAAATGGGTGTGAGCCTGTGATACTTTTCTCCAAATGAAGACAACTTGCCATATCCCTGTTGGTTGCTTCCTGACTCGGTGCCCGAACCCCTACCAAGCAGACATGGACCTCTGCAGCAAGACTTCTTCCAAGAACAGCCCCATGCAGTTATCTCGCCCTACGAACAAACTACTTATCATTTGTGTTTCAAGATAACCAGATCCTTCAACTACATTAGTCGGCTCGCAGTTTACGTTCACCATAAGTCACTTAGTGTACTCATTCGGCCTTCTGCGAAGTTAGAATTGGGGTAATTACGTGCGCGCGATCGGCAGAGGGCCGTGCTTTCAACCCAAAATGAAGGCATTATAATATACCTTCGTATAATCCCTAGCAGTCATAATAGGGAGGAGTTTGTTTCCACGCTATGCGACAAAATTACACCTGTTTAGAGTTCGGACTTTGAGTGAATTGCCGCTGAGCTGCTCCTTCGTTCGGGATCACCGGGCACTGGTAACTTTCGGCGGTGGTCAGGGCATGATAACGAGGCATTCAGAAATTATAGACCCCACTACGGCCCGTAAACGTGAAAGTTAAGACTGGTACTCAGAGTGCGACATTATAGTATAAGAACCTCGAGACAATGCGCCCGCGGTTGTGAGATTGTTTTGCTTGCCATCCGCAAATCGTCACTCGTTCATTTTCATTCCGCTTTACATCTCTCACTCTGAAATAATATTCAAAATGCGTGCCTTCACCGTCGCTGCTGCCCTTCTCGTCGCTGGAGCCCAGGCTGCTCCTGCTCTTGAGAGCCGCCAGGTTGTTTACGGATGGTAAGGGGTCCTATCTCCGGATTTCAAGGCGACCGAGCTGATTAGACATGCGAAGTTACTTCTCCGGTGAGGGTATCAACAACCAGTACGTGAGCGTCGGCCACGACATTGATGTTACCGATGCCAACGGTAACACCCGCAACCTTGATTGCGGCACAACTTCCCAGCAGCTTGTTCCCAACGTCTTCGCCAAATGCACAGTGGACAAGAAGCAGCCCGCGGGTATTACCGCCAACGAGTCCGACAAGAAGTAAGCACAGTAGCAACCAAAGAGAAACTACGCAACTAACACAAACGTTCCTAGCGCTATCAACTGCCCCGTTTCTAAGAGCAAGGCGGACTGCTAGACACCTCACTATCAAATATCAACCAAAGGGTTGGTAGGAATATAATCATAATTAAAGTACTTTTGAACGTCGAACTGAAGTCTACAGTCATCAGTATTGTTTTCGGGCCATTTGGTTTCATGCGCGACACTCGTCAGTCTCCACGTATGTGTAGTGCCAGTCCGAAAAGAAATACCATCAACTCCAAGCTTGCCAGGTTTCCAATGCTCTCGCCAATCCAGTCGCTGCAGAATGACCTAATATGAATTCAAAGACCTGCAAAGGTTCCAGTGAAGCTCGTGCGATTTGTCTTGATTCTGCTAGGGCTCGAGGTTACTCTTGAAGTTCCATGAAAGCGCGTTCCCTTGCTTCCGCATGTGAGAGGACTAAAGTTAATCTGATCATAGCTACCCTTGGTCTGTGGGGTTAGCATGAGTTCGAGCATCCTGATCTAATATTCCGAATGGTTACTTGCTTAGAGTTATACCCCTATCACTTGGGGTGTAAATATGTACGTTCATGAATTTCCGACATTCAGTATAGCAAGAACGTAGTCTTAAACAATTCACATGGTGACTGCAAAGGTCGTCGCTTAGTGTCATAAATCATGCAAAATCGAATGTCACCATGGTTGACTTTGGTCCAATTGAGCTTATGCTAGAGGCCTTATGTGGAGATCTGCGTACTCTACAGATGTTTCTGCAACCCGTATTTGACTTTTGCATCGATTAATGGAGTGACTCCTTCACGTAAGAATATCCCGCCTCGTGATTTCTATCGTGGTGTAAGTCCCTTTTCAAACGGAAACATTGTTTTTGTAGTCTAGAACTTTTGAAGCAATTAGCGTATAGCAACGCACTGTTTCAATTGACGCATTGAAGCATCGGTCCAAGCCCTCGGTTCAATCCCACATTCCAAAATATGATTGACTTCTTCCGGGTAAATTTGGTAACTAGATAAATTACGTTACAGGCAATACTTCGCAATCAGCAAAGAAATAACGGTCTAGATCTTCTTACCATTCCTGTTCGGATCGGAATCATTCAATAGCACTTATTGAATAGAAAGTCGAAAATTTGCTACTGGCCTTGGGTACCTTAATTTGGACCAAAGCAACATTTCAATCCCTCCGGCGAAAGAAGTACAATGCTTTCTGTTTTATCTCAAGGGTTGAAAT